TGTTGGGCCCCCCGCGGTAAATTGTGTGTGAAGTTTCGAGTTTCGTGCTTTTCTCTTCCCAAGTTACCCTTCCATTTTCAATTCACCAATTTGACAAAGTTTAGTATAATGGTCTTATTCATATAAATATATATTATATGACGAAAGAAAATCCAAAACCAACTCTTTTAAACGATCAATTCACGGATGAAGTGTTAGAATAAGAATTTTTAAACTCAAGTCTTATCTAATTCTTGAAATCATTTTATTATGAAATAATTATTTTTATTTAAATTTAATTTAAATGAAAGGATTGAATCAAGTTTTGAATAGATCATTAAAAATGTTAATCAAACTTGATCTGATCCATAAAAATTTTTATTTTTTAATATTTATGACCATAAAAATTTAAATTTGATCCATTTGTTTCATAAAAAAATTTAAAAATATTTTAAAAAATTATTTATATTTTTGAAAAAATTTTATGTTATTTGGATAAATTAATAAAAAATATTTTTTGTTATTCGGTTGCTTTCTAAAAAATCTATTTTTTTCAAATAGTATTAATATAACTATTAAAATATTAAAAATTATTTATTATTAAAATTATTAATATTAAAAAATAATTAATTTTAATAATAATATTTAATATTAAAATATTATGTTAATATAAAATATACTTAAAATAAAAGTATTTATTATTTTTATATTATTTATCAATATATTATATTAATATTATATTATTTATTAATATATTATAGTATTATTTCTTAATATTTTTATTAATATATTATATTGTTATTTATTAATATATGATTTATTAATATAGTATTATTTATTAATATATTATAATATTATTTATTTATTAATGTAATATTATTTATAAAAAAAATTATACTCAAAAGTATTATTAAATAGTTATACTGATAAATAGCTCTTTTTCATAAAATATCATTTCTTTTCAAATTCATAAAATAATTTTTAAAAAAATTATCTCATTTTCTATTGATTAGTAAGTAATTTTTCGTTGACTAGCAAGTTTTTATCAAATAAATACATAAAAATACAAAAATCATTTTAAAAAGTTATTTTTCATGAAACAAACAAAGCTTTAATCATTAAAATTAAAATTTTAACTTTTTATCAATAAATTATATTATGCAAATATATTGTTCCAAACGAATATCCCTATTTAATACAATATATTTATATTTATTATTGAAATGAACAGGTATTCATGCATTAACAATTGAATAAATACTTAAGTGTTTTGCTTTCAATTTTTTATGACATTATATGAATCAATACATTTATAATCATAACAAAATAACGTTTCATTTATTAATTTAAACCCAATAAATAAGTTGAATAAACAAATCAATATAAAGTTAGACAAAATTCACGTAAGATAAATTACTAATAAATTAATAATAGCATGTGGGGACAAGCAAATCACTCATTATATTGAAGATGTTCTCAATGCCTAACTGAGGCCACTAAATTAGAGAATCTAGCTAGGGTTGGGAGATGGAAGAGGATCACATGTCTTCAGAGGAGGCTTAAGAAAATTTTCATCATGTGTGTAATTTGTGAGGAGTCAAGATTTTCTTATTCATTGAGCAAGATGATTTGAAAAGGAAAAAGAAAAAGTAGTTAAGAAATAAAGGCAACAAAGGTGTATGTTTTCAAACAATTCTTCCAAAACACGTTTCTTTTTTTTTCTCAAAACCCTAAAAGGAAGCACACGTTAATTGAAGATTTTCTCTTTCTTCATCTTATCATCACCAAGTTCAATAATCATGAATATTTAGAATCATTCTTTTTTACAAAAGTCATAAGAATTCATATTATAATATCTAACATTTAACATAAAATGAAAGTTTTCTATAAGTTGAAAAAATTATAGATTTCATATTATAATATCTAAATTATTATAATATCTAACATTTAACATTTAACGCAAACAAACTCTTTGGAAAAATTATTATTATTATTAATAAATTGAGAAGATCCAAATCAAAATCTTTAAATCATATTAATACATATACTTTCCATTAAGTAAAACCATAAATAACTTATATATTTTAATTAAAATAAAAATTATAACCCCAAGCATAGCCGGAAAGAATTTTCTAGTTATTACGAAATTTAAACCATCTATAAGCTTATAAACTTCACAAAATTTTAAGTAGATTTTAAGCTATATTTGGTATATAAAATTATGATATAATAAAATAAAATAAAATTATAAATATAATTAAATTAAATAATATTATCTTTTTTATATTTGATGTGTATAAGAATTAAAATAAAATAATTTAGTTATTGATTAAAATTATCTTTCATCAAAATTTATATAATTTAAATTATTAATATAATTTTTAAAAATATAATAAGATATATAAATTTAATTTCATAGATTAAAAATAATTTTTTATTTTTTTAAATGATAGAGTTATCCTATTGATATAAAATATCTAATTCTTTCAATAATTAAATCTTTTTATTTAATTGTATAACAAATATATGATATGATAATTTATATCTTATTTTTTAACTAATTTTATATATCAAACCTAGTATTAAAATCTTAAATGTTGATATTAAATCATTATAAAATTATAGTGAAAAATATATTTTTTTGAATATTTGAGGTAATAAAAAATTAAATTTAATTACTGAAATTAAAATAAAATTGAATACTTTGTCAGTGAGATTGAAGAAGATGGGTCTAGTGAATTTTGGCGATTTAACTTTGCTTGGAAATGACGATCGAGTAGTCGAGCAAACAAAGGCTGAGGTCGGCAGCTGGCAGTATTCCAGGCCTGGTGTGATGGTTTATCTTGAGTCTCAGCCAGAAGACTGTGCCACGTCCATTTCCATGTCACTATTTTCCAACACGTATTGCATATTGCGCGTCTTTTTTGCATGAACAAAAATATCTCCTCAAGAATTTTACAATTTTGCAAAATCAAAGTCAGGAAAGCAGCTGGCTAGCACCTGACATGATTTATGGGGAAAAAAAAAAAAAGAAATTGGCCTGTATAATATGTTGTTAAAAGTGGGATTTTATATACATTTATTATATAAGATAATGAATAACATAATATGATAATTTTTTTATATAATATTTGATTTTTAATTAAAGGAATGGAGTAAATTATAAGAGAGATTAATTATTTTCATGTCATAAATTGATTCAATCTTTTTAAAATAAAAAATTATTTGTAATTTATAAAATTAAATATATATGATTTATTATATTTTAAAAATTATATTAATAATAGTTTAAATTATATAAATTTTGAAAAAAATTATTTTTATCAATAAATAAAACTATTTTATCCAAATATTGGTATACATTAAATAAAAATAAAAATATTTTATTTTATTTTATTTATAATCTAATTTTATTTTATTCTTTCCTAATTTTATATATCAAATATATTTTTAAATTACTAAAACTAAATAAAATCTATATTGCATACAAATTCCTGATTTTTTCTTAATATATTTATTCATGATATATTTTGATATTCTCAAAATAAATGTAAAAAGTTATATAAAAAAATACATTTATGTGTCCAACACTTCATCTTGAATCATACAACGTAGCTTAAAAAATAATCGAGGGAGGCACGGAATAATGTGGAAAACTCGTGAATTCAAAAAAAAAAAAAAAGGTTAGGTGCAAATCAGCAAAGATTTTTAGGTAAAACAAACTCATTCTCGACAATATTAGGTAAACACTAAACACAAGCCTGAGAACATTGGGTGCTTTGGCAAAAAATTAAATATTTAGGGTCAGATGGAAAAATACCCATTCCTTTTATTTTATTTTATATTTTGTTTCCAAAAGCCTCTCAAATAGTATACAGTAAAAGTTGTAGTTTTTTCTTTCCTCTGACTTTGCAGGTATTGGTGTAGTTTTGACTGTCGACGTATATTTTACCTGCCCTTGGACTGGAGGAAGAAAGAAACAAAACAAGGAAAATGCAAGTTTTGCTATTGCAACCCACTTTGACTAGGAGATGACAACATTGTCCTTCATGTGCTTTCGTGGATTATAATTGTTGATTAGCTTTTCTCTAACCCCATTAGAAATCATAATAGTAATAAAGAATTTGTGAGATATCCTATGTTTGATAAATATCCTGTGGTTTTTTTATAATGCGTTATCAAAATCATAAAAAAAAACTATTCCTCGTATTGAACTTTAGAAGATTAATATAGATATATATCAATTCGAATATTAAATAAGCACATTTTTTGTGTTTGTTTGTTAATATAATGTTTTTAACATTATAAAATTTACACTGACGTTGCTCATTGTTTTGGTATTTTTATAAATAAAAAACAAGGGTAACCACATGTTAGGTAGCACAAAAGAAATGGCTATAATGTTGTCTGTCATAATCCATTTCTTCGTTAATTAGCAATAGTTTCGTCTGTATTAATGCACATGAAAAAGAATCGTTTGTCAAGAAAGTAAAAGTTACCCATTTATGATTTCCAAGTTTTGAAGTTTTCGTCTTATCATTACAAATGTATTTTGTTTTGATATCATTAGAATTTTTCAATCCATAGGAAGGTGACATATAAAAACCTTGACAAATTATTTTATATTTTTGTAACAATCAAGACTTTAATTAACTTATTGACTCAATAATTTCCATTTGGATGTTGCACAAAATATATATTATAATTAAATACATTATATTTTGTCAAATTATTTTATTAATTTAACTAATTTCATTGACAAAGGATATAATGTATTTTATTAGTTAATTTCATATGATATTTGTTACACATCATTATATCATATTTTAAATTATCAAATTACAAAAGATTAAGTAATTTATTAACCTATATTATTTTTTTTACCAAAGTAGGGATGGTGTAAAATTGTCAACCAGGAAGGCCAATTTCTATATTCGTAATTTCAATGCAAAATAAGGGCATAAAAGTAAAACAGTACAACTACAATTTCCTCCGCAAGAAGATAAAAATCACGCCAACCCACTGTAAGCCCCAACAAAGTTAAGTCATTCATTTCACTACCCAACCAACCACCGAAACCAAAAGCCAAAAGGAATACCTCTGTAATTTTTCGTAATCCACATTTTGCCCACAAATCTCTGAATATCTTTTCACTGAAGTCCCTTATTCTGATCGAACAACCATGTGTGGAGGTGCAATTATCTCCGGTTTCATCCCCCCGACGCCGTCGCGTCGCCTGACGGCTGATTACTTGTGGCCCGATCTGAACAAATCCGGGTCAAAAAAGGGGTCGGTTAAAAGGTACTCGAAGCCGGTGATTGATTTGGACGATGACTTCGAGGCTGACTTTCAGGAGTTTAAGGATGAGGAATCCGATGTCGATGACTATGATGTTGATGCTGTTATGGCTGATGTCAAGCCTTTTGCTTTCTCTGCTACAAAGAAACCATCTTCTGCTGTCAATCTTGGTAAATAATTTTAATTTCCTTCCTTTTTTTCAATTTTTTGTTCTTTGGGTTTTGTTTGTGGAGCCTTTTCTAAAAATGGGTTCTTTTTTTTTCTTTGTGAAATGAGCATGTAATTTTGGGCAAAATTAGTCTTTTTCTTTATTTTAAATTTTTCATTTTTCATTTTCGAAAATTTTGAAGGTTTAATTGAGTTAGATCATTAGCTATTTGATGGAACTAAATATTTTTAATTTTTACTTTATATAGCTAAATATTTCTATTATTGAATTCCTAGCTTATCTGGTTGTGTGATAGATCTAGGCCTTTTGAATAGATTGGTTAGTATTTTTAGTTAAAATTTTATGAAAAGTTCGTTTTTTTTTTTCAAAAAAATTGTCAATTATTCATTTTTTTTTTTTTCAGTTGTTAGATTTTATCTCTGGTATATAAGCTTTTCATTTCATTATCTTTTACCCTTTATCTATTTTAGAAAGTTAATTATTTTCACTTTGGCCTTTAAGATTTGCTTGTAATCTGAAAATAGCAGGAAAAAAATAATAGTTGTTAGATCATAAAATCTTAGCAATTTAAAGCTTCTTCAACTTGAATAAATAGAGATCTGTAATAATAGTGGGCTTTTCCATAAACCCACATCAGCTGATTTTGTAGTTTGTCTGCTGAGATTAATATTTCCCCCTTAGTAGTATGGATGTTTTGGTTCTTTGGAATCTTGTTCACTTTTTAGTACATCATATTATTTTTTGTTCGGTCATTTTTTTCTTTCATTCTTCTTAGAATTTAAAGTAGGAAATTTAATTTAAAATTTTCTACCGTTAGATTTTTTTAGTATCATTATAAAAGTGTCTTCTTATTTATTTTTTATAATTTTTTTGTTCATCTACAAATTTGTTAAAATTAACTTTTAATTTATATCAAAAATTAAATTTACAATATGATTTTTCTTATTGTTTCAGTCTGACCAATTTGTGTTGTTTCTTATATTTATACTTTCCTTTTGTCTATTGGTATTTGAAATCTTAGTATGTATTACGGTCATGGTTCCTATGTCCAAAAGGAGAAACCAAAGTCTGGAGGAAATGGAATTTGAGAATTAATACCTCATATAATAATTTTCTGGATAATATTTACCAAATATGTTCCCATGATTTTCTTGCACTCGAAGGTCTTAAATTATATTGCCTGGCGACAGTTATCTAATGATTTATAGTATTTTCATCGGTTATAACATTTATTTATGGTTCATGCACCTGTAAGGTGTTAACATTTTCTTTTTCAATTATTGAAGATTCAAGCTCTGTAAAATCCGTGGAATTCAATGGTCAAGCTGAGAAAACTGCAAAAAGAAAGAGGAAGAACCAGTATCGTGGAATTCGACAGCGTCCATGGGGTAAATGGGCTGCTGAGATCCGAGACCCAAGGAAAGGGGTTAGAGTCTGGCTAGGAACTTTTAATACTGCTGAAGAAGCTGCAAGAGCTTATGATGCTGAGGCACGGAGAATTCGGGGTAGGAAAGCAAAGGTGAACTTCCCTGATGAGACTATGCGTACTTCTTCAAAGCGTGCAGTTAAGACAAATTCTCAGAAACCACTATCCAAGTCAAATTTGAGCCCCATTCAACCTAATCTCAACCAGAATTTCAATTACTTGAACAAACCTGAGCAGGACTACTATGAAACCATGGGTATCATAGAAGAGAAGCCACCAATGGATCAGTTTGCATATTTGGACCCTGTTCCTGCTTCTGTAGATGTTGGATTGAAACCCTTTGCTCAATCTGAAGGCCCCTTGTATTTTAATTCAGACCAGGGAAGTAACTCCTTTGATTGTTCTGACTTTGGCTGGGGAGAACAGGGTGTCAAGACTCCTGAAATATCATCTGTTCTTGAAGCTTCAATAGAGGGTGATGAGTTTCTAGAGGATGCAAACCCTATGAAGAAGCTTAAACCAAGTTCTGAAAATGTTATGCCAACTGAAGACAATTCTGCAAAGAGATTGTCTGATGAGCTATTGGCTCTGGATAATCAGATGAAGTACTTTCAAATGCCATTTATTGAGGGGAACTGGGATGCCTCAATTGATGCCTTTCTCAATGGAGATGCATCTCAGGATGGTGGAAACCCGATGGATCTTTGGAGCTTTGATGACTTCCCTGCCATGGATGGGGTTGTTTTCTGAGCAAACTTTCTCTACTTGCTAGTTTTGTAAATAAAGCAACATGTTAGTGAGTTTCACCCCTCTGGTAGCTGCATATCGTTTCAATTGTGTCATCTCTAGCATTATTTTTTTTGGACCAATGTTCAGTTATTTATGTCTTGCTTTTTTCTTGTTTAGTGCTCTCAGGAATTGGTCAATCTGTTGTGAAGTTGGAGTAAAACAGCTATAGTTGCTTATGCTATGTCTGCAGTGCTTTCAGAGGCGTCTATTATATTCACCTTTATCTTTTAGACATTGGACTTGGAATTTTAAATTTGAGTGACTGTATCAGTACTGTGTTATTTGTGTTAAAATACTGAAAAGAGATGAATGTTTAGCCTTGCTATTTGTTTCTCCCATAGTCTCTTTCAGTAACTGAAGGCCACGATTCTTTTTGTTCTTTTTTATAAATAGTATATCATTTTTTTCCCCAAGAAGAGGCCACTGCTGTCTTATGATATCTGCAAAAAATATCGCTTCTCGTCTCTGGCGGTTAAGTGGCCATGCTTTATGCCTGCCTATTCATGTCAGCCTGCTTCTTTCTGGAGAGTCTGCTGCTGAAGTTTTTTAATGTATCATTAAAAAACCTGTGAACGCTGAAGATTTTGCATTTGCTTGCTGACTTCAGTGACTTGGAGTGACGAGGCTTTTCTTTGCATTGTCATTTATCCTCTCGTCATCTGCCACGTATATCAAAATATGGTATAAGAGAAATTAGAAAACTAGGACCGGATAAGGTTTGTGTACAGCAGCCACGTCAAGACATATGCATTGCAGTGAAGTATGCAGCATAGAGACTGGTAAAAAAAAAAAAGAAAAATCTCCCAATCTTCTCCATGTGAGAACCTACGAGATGGCAAATTTGTTGTCGACATGGAAACGTGTTGATAGGTTCACTTCTTCCGTCGTGGGATTTGTTTGCTAGCTGAAGGTCAAGGGATTTGTGGTGGGCTCCATCATTTAGGCCGCGATGGGGTCAGGGGTGCGGGTGCGATGGGCCCCAGTATCATAGGTTTTTAGGGGGTGGCAATCTTGGGAAGATGAGCCCCCCTGCCTGCGCAGTAGCAGGAATACTTTGTGAAAAAAAAAATGGTGGAAGAAATGACGTGAAAGTAAGCTTTGATGGGATATCATGATTGTCAATAAGGACACCACAATATTGGCTCCAAAATCAACCAACCGCAACACAAACAGTATGGCCCTTTTCCCTATTAATCGAAAACCAATAATCACATACATATTTCCAGACAAAGTTGTAGGCCTTGGGAAATCACCCCCACAAAAGATGACTTGATCCCATGGGCGTTGCTCTGGCCCTTTAGCAACAGATGGCAAAAGAGATTAATCAAAAGATTAGACATTACCACATGATCAATAATTAGAAAAAATTTAGTCTGGTCAGTGCTTATTTCAAATAGGTTGAATAATTAATCCCCTAATACTCCACTAATTCATGGCTCTAGAGAACAATTCCTTTATGCATGCAAGTTGCCAGCCTGATTTACAAAGTGCATATGATTAGCAAAGAAAAAGATTTCTCAAAAGTGGAAGTTCAAACCTTCCAACAATTAAAGCTGCACGGAATTAACATGTTGAACGGTGTAGGATTATCTGATCTCAATTTGCCACGGCAACTCTGTCATTTTTATTTGTTTGCATTTGAATCTAATCATTGAGTTGAATGAAGGAAACTTCAAATTTACGCTGAAATCTATTAATATATAGTTTTTGAGTCCTTTCTTTATATTCAATCTACCCTGAAATCTAGTCGAGGCTTTGGGGCCTCTTTAAGAAAGGAATAATAGAATGCCGCAGTTAAAGGAAAACATCAAATTCCTTCTTAATCTAGAAGTAGCAACAATAAACAAGCGATTAAATTATCACTTAAACTGTTTGATTAGTTTGGCTTAGTCCAAGATGAAGGTTTATCATGAATGCGCCACCAATGCGAGATTCAGGTTGTTCATGTTTCCAGCAACAATATAAGCAAGAGCGTTTTCTCAGGAAAAGCTCTTTCTTTCTGTCTGTTTATTTTCTTACCATAGTTGCCACGGTAGGGTTGGGTGTATTGATTGTTGAATTCATTTTGAAGCCTCAAACGCCGGTATTTTCTATTGAAACCATAACATTAGATGCATACCAGTTGGATGTTTATTCCAATTCGACCCTGTTTGTGTCATCTGTTGCTTCTTTGGTCCTAAATGCTGCCAATCCTAACAAGATTGGCCTAAGATACAGCCCTTCAAGGCTTCAACTTTACTTGGAAGGACTTCCTATCGCAGTTATTCGAGTTCCCAGCTTCTTTCAACCTGCTCATAGTAACAATGTCAGTTTGAGAACAAGGGTTTTGATTCCTTGTGTGAATGTTAGCCAAGTGTTGGGTGGGGGCTGGTTGCAAGACCAGCAGGGCCAGAAAATTGTTCCAATCAAACTATCAGGCGATATTCGAGTGAACCTCCATTTTCTACACATTACCCTGCCAAAGATCAAGGTTTGTAGTGTATACTTTCATTCACCTAGAAGAAGATTTACTTTCTGAATTCCTTGTTTCTCAAGGCTTTCAAGTTTCAAAGCTTTGTCTTATTTTCTCACCACGAACTGTGACATAAATTTTGATCTCTACTTAAATGTACTGATTCTTATCTTACAGGTTGCCCTTGATTGTGACATAGATTTCGAGTATAGGGAATTGGCATTCTTAAATGAAGCTTACAGCAGCGAAGCTGTTAAAAATCTGGTTGTAAGTGTCATTTCATATCTCAAATATTGGCCAACTTCCCCTCAAGTAATAATCATGCATGTTTAGAAACTTTATGCATATGTTTTCTTTGATTCATTTATAAATTACTTGACTTTGCAGGCATCTTTTTCAAATGATTCCAAATCCTTCATCAAGAAATGTGCCTTAGCTATCTACATATGAAAAAAAAGGGGGAAATTTTCTTGCTAAGAAATTTCTAATTGCTACATACCCTGACAGTTCTCTTGTTCCTTAAGGAAGATTGAGATCCTTGTTAATGGCATAGGCAATTCTTCTCCACCAAAAAAAAAAAAATGGTGGCATTTGATTCTTAAACTTCTAAAAAAAATGGTGCATTGACAATTATCTTGTTGAAAAAAAAAGACAATTATGTCAATCTTCCTAAAGCACGAATTTCATACGTTCCCCTTTACAGGATTGAAGATTTCAACAGTTAGAAATTATATATAGATAATATTGGACTTCTTTCTGCGAGCTTGATTTGACTCTTCCAAAACTTGTCAAACGCGACCAATCTTTCTTGACTTGGATAGTTTCTGGCAAACTTTTTAATGTTTTTGGTGAACAAGCACCTCCCAGCGCATTAAGGTTACATTTCACACCCATACTAATATATGCCTTTTCTCTACGCGTTATTTGACATCTATGCAGGAGGATTGTTTGTGATGGCCGTTTTTATAATGCATTGCTTTTGCAAATTTTACCCTACACTATCAAAATATCACCTTTTCCCTTCGGCTCAAATGAAAAACATTATAGGTTGATGATCAACCTCTTCCTTTCGTTATGCGTGTGGGAAGGGTCTAGAGTTAAACAAACAAGTCAAGCAAACGTGTAGTCTAGCTCCTTACCATTTATCATATAGAAAATTTTCTAATAAGCTAAATTCTTAATTTTATCTTATTATTATTAAGAGATGATATTTCATAATTTTATAATTCAAAATTTAAAATCTATAATTTCTTTTCATATCCTTAAACTTCGATATTCTTTATAAAAAAAAATGAATCCATTAATTAGCTTCAAGGGATATATAAATTAGAAATTCATCACATAATTATTATTGATTGACCATTTTTATATGATTAATTATTTAAATGGATTTTAGGGAAAATAAGGATATTAAAAGATTAGTGTCCCGAGTCCACATTTTCAATCTAAAAAATATATCTATTAGATAAAAGATTGCCTTATTAATATGAAATTCGTGATATTTTTTTCCATCCAATTAATATAACGTTCTCGTTACTCTTTAACTCTTTCACTTACTTTGACCGCTTTGATCTAAACTTACTTTGACCCAAGTATCTCTGGTAGAGTCATCCACAAAGGAGAAAGACCCATCTTGATTTTACTTCAAACGTATCTCTCAAGGCTCACATGAACGAAAATTTGGGCTCACTTATCACATCAATGAAAAATTACGCTCACATTAATGAAAAGTTGAATTTATTTTGATACCACTTGTCATGTGTTCACATTATCAACATAAAATCCCATATAAAAGAAGAATCATGATTTTATAGCCCAAAACCACCCCTTGTCTTACTGATATGGGATTCTGTAACACTAGTAGCTAGCAAGTATGAAAGAAAATGAGTTCATTCATACAAAAGTCAAAAGCCAAATTAAATATTTCTCAATACGTGTCTTTGGAAAGTGACATACTAAGATTTAGATAAGAGAGTCGATATTAAGACAAGAAAGGAGTATATTGATGGATGAAGTCTTATTATTCATTGATGGTGTTGGATTTTTAATTCCAATTATTTTAGATTCATTTTTTTATAATTTTAAGTATAAAAAAAAATCTAAGATGGATTAAAGTAATTAAACAATACTCTCACCTTAATTAAAATGAATGCATGGGTTAATTTCCCAAAGAAATAAATTAGTGAAAATCAATTTATAATCCAATATATAATTAATTCAATTGTTTTTAGATCTATATATTTTGAATGAAAATCCAATTATTAAAAATTTAATCTTATTTCATAAATCTCTCCCCTTTAACCTTCAAAATTTATATGTAGATTGAAAACCGGAAAATAATTTTAGGACAATGTTGCATGCAGACAATCTCCACTTTTTTCACACACACGTTTTTTTTTTTTTTTAGGGATTTAATTGAAAAGTATTAACATTTTTATGAATTATAATAAAATTTTAAAAATTTATAATTATGTGAGTGTGTAAAATAAGTGTATTAAATTAGCATATATAATATTTTTTATAATTTAAGCACAATGAGATATTTTCATTGCAGGATGATTTGAGAAAAGCTCTAATCGAAAAAAGTTGACTTTCTTATCCTTGAATGCAAACTAATAATAATCAAACTCCAAAATAATAAGAGAACTTAAAAAAAAAAAAAAAAACTCATGAAATTTTTTTTCTTTAAAGTTCAATTGACAAAATTTGCATGTAATAGATTAATTACTTGGCTTTTTCAGTGAGAGAATAAAGTATTGCTTTTTTCAACTTTCGTACACGTCCTTCTAACATGTGTGCTTGCCATTGCCAATCACGGATTTCATTTGACATTTGACAAACTTTTCCCAAACCACCAAAGCCCAGCTGTTTGACAGACGATGTAATTTTCATTTCGTCCATTTTAAGTCATGAGTTTACTTCTCGAAATCTCTTACTATTCTATTATTTAATTTCAATCCCTTTCGTCTCCGTATATAACATGGCTGCGACTGCCAAATTTTTTTAAAATAACAGACTTTTACTTAATTAAACAATCCAAATCCATATAAATTTTTAATTTAATCTAAATATCAAATAGTACTATTATGTACTATAAAATATTAGCTTAGTCAAACATTTGATGCTGGCATTTATGTTATTTTTAAAAAAAAAATCATTTTTTGTCTTTCACCACTTCGCACTGTTCATAGCCGGTTTAATTTGAATTTTGTTCACTAGTAATGATGTGTAAATTTTGGCCACATGGAACCTTGCAGTTTGTCTCCTTTTTAATGCTGGGTTTCATTTTAATGTTTTTTTTTCTGATCAATCCTTGAACTTTGAAGTTGGGTTTTTAATTCATTTTATCTAGATTCCATGAGTAATATATCTTTTATTTTTTATTTTTCATTTTAATTCATCATATCTAGATCCCATGAGTAATACTTGCACTAATTATTTTTGTGGAAAATGTTTGACAAATTAATTTATTAGGATCGATCTGAAAATTTTATCTACTTAATTCAATCGAACTTCAGAAAAGCCAAATTAATTCACCAAATTAAATGCTGTAGAATCTTTTTCTTTTCCTCATTGGTCAAATTTAACAGAAAAAATTGTCCATGTCCCCCAGTCATTGTTTAAATGCAAAAGGCAATCTTAGTTTGCGTATATAGTTTTGTCATTTTTCACATATCAAAATGGAGACAAAGTTAATGTATTTGGAGAGCGAACTTGGTGATTAATGATGCCATATGGAGAAGAATTTAATCATGGCCAGACTAAGCCCTCCGTCGTTCATTTCCTTCCTTCACGTAGCACTCCTTGCAACATGTTGCAGAGGGAAATCGCAGCAGCTGCCAAAGAAGCATGTGCCTTTCTTCATCTTTGGTGATTCATTTCTGGATGTTGGCAACAACAACTATATCAACACCTCAACTCTTGACCAAGCAAATTTCTGGCCTTATGGTGAAACTTATTTCAAGTTCCCTACCGGAAGGTTTTCTGATGGGCGTTTGATATCAGACTTTATTGGTGAGATTTTCAAAATCTTGGTCTTTCTGTCTTTCTTGTTTGTACTTTGCATCAAGTTCCGTTTGGTTAACCAACAAGCATTCTATCTGCCTAACATCTTCTCTTCTTGTCTCATCTTAATTGTACACATTTTTAATTTTTTTTCTATTTTCTAATGTAGCTGAACATGCAAACTTGCCATTGATCCCACCTTTTCTGCAACCGGGATTTCGACAATATTACCTTGGAGTAAATTTTGCATCTGCTGGAGCAGGTGCTCTAGCTGAGACATTTCGTGGAGTTGTGAGTATTATCTTCTTCTTTTCCCATTTCTTCATTTTTATATATTCTGGAATGTTTATAATTATACATAATTATTGGAATGAAATTGATAATATAGAAGTTTCGAATTTAGGTATGTTTTCTTCTGTTGAACACATATTTATGATTTTTTTTCCTTACATAGCCATTAGCCAGTTTGAATATATTTATCCATGCTCATCTGAAATGCTATTAAGTTACTAGTAGAAATATCATTTTAATTATCTTATACAACTTACCATATGTATAAGGATTAACAGAAGAACGTAGAACAGAGGGAAATAGCTAGGAAAAAAAAAAAAAAAGGAAGGATTAGGAGAAACTGGAGATAGTCCTGCCCAAAAACTAGTGGCCTCAGTGAAATTTTGAGACAGTTTTTACTGTATATAATTGGCTGGATGCACCTACTGTTTTGGGTCCTGTATTATATCCTTTTGATTTGCAAACATCAAATGAAGGCCAAAAAGACCCATCTTCACAAAAACATCAAAGAAGACATTTTGTACATGAATTCTGAGGTCAACATGGAGAATGAATGTAGACCAGAGAGAATGAATGATGCGTCAAAACGTACATCCATGAATTTTGTGGAGATTTTGATAGCAGGGTTGAATACTATAGCTCCACTTTTTTTTAAATGGTTACTCAATTTCAGTTTTCAGGTGATCGATCTTAAAACACAGCTAAGCTACTTTAACAAGTTAGAGAGTCGGATGAGACAGAAATTAGGAATTGATGAAGCGAAGTTGACTATATCAAGGGCTGTCTACTTGTTTAGCATTGGAACCAATGATTACACGAGCCCTTTCTTGACCAATTCCACTATCTTAAACAACTACTCTCACTCCACATATGTTGGGATGGTAATCAGCAACCTTACAACTGCCATTAAAGTAAGTAATTCTTCTTTAATGGAATGGTAGATTTTCTAAAATGGAAGTTTTTTCTTTTAGGAAGGAAAAAAAAATCATGGTTAGTAAAGTTCTTCAGCTTTTAAGGGTATAAATCTGCCTGTTTTGTCTTTGTGACGGGACAAAATGCGGCAAATTTGTGACTTAAATGCTATGTTTCGGTGTTAATTTGGCAGGAAATATATAGACGAGGTGGTCGAAAATTTGCGTTCATCAACTTGCCTGATTTAGGTTGTCTTCCGGGGGTAAGGTTACTCAAGACTGAAACAAATGGAAGCTGCTTGGAGGAAGCAACATCACTTGCAACATTACATAACAAAGCTCTTTCCAAGCTTCTGTCTGAGTTAGAAAAACGATTGAAGGGGTTTAAGTATTCATTTTTTGACTTCAACAGCAATCTCAGACAGAGAATGCATCATCCCTCCAAATATGGTGCGTACAAACAACATTAAAATGATTGGAAGAAAAGGATTGTTTTTAATGATAAATGTGGTCTGGCATTACACAGTAGATAAGGACACCGCTAAATGTTAATGGAAATATATGTTTTTTTTCCCAAGAAAAAAAATTAATTTAATTACAAACAAGCAGATGAAAGTTCCAATTTTGTTTCATGATCAGGTTTTAAAGAAGGGGAGACAGCATGCTGTGGAACGGGGAAATATAGAGGAGTATTCAGCTGTGGGGGGAAAAGGACAGTGAAGAAATTTGAACTTTGTAAGAATCCGAATGAGTATGTGTTTTGGGACTCTTTCCATCTCACCGGAAAGATTTACAAACAATTGGCAAATGCAATGTGGAGTGGAACAACCAATTCTAGTGGTGTTGGACCTCACAATATGAAGAAACTATTCCGAATTCCTTAAGCAAATTTTGTCCCAAAACACAGAATTTATTCACGAAAACGTGTGTAGATACATGGGCTCCATTCCGATCCATATAATTTAGCATAGGATATGCATTGACGTTTTCTCTAATAAAGAATAAATTCATGTTTTTAGGGGCAAAATCTGATTGGATTTGCTCTTGGCTTGTACTAATTTATAAAGCTTTGGGTTACTTTGCCAAATTCACTTTTGTTTTTAGCAGAAGAGGATTTGACTTGGAGTTTTCTATATTTCTTTTGACGATAAAGTTGTTGTAATTAACTTAAGTGGACCGTCAAAAATCTTCAGAAACATGTATTATTTAAATTCATTTACTTAATTCATACATTATTATTATTATTTTGCCAGATAATACATGCATTATTAAAAAAATAAATGTAAAAGCATGTATTAATTTTTTTCATATTAATATATATTCTTAAAACTAGAAGAATAAAATCTAGTCATAATTATTTAAAATTAAATTGTTTTATTGATGGTGACGCCGGGAAAAAGGCAATTTTCTTTTCCTCTTTTTTTTTTTTTTCTATCGACTGTTGTTCTTGGAATTTTAGGAAAAAACCTTTAAAAAGGAAAAAAAAAAGAAGCTTCCACTTAAATAGAAATGATAATCAATGCATTGCATTTTAATTTGTGCTAGTAGAAGGAGAAAATGATAATGTCTTTCTTGTTCAGCAAGGACAAGTAATTGAAAGTTGAGAAACAGCTATAAAGGAGAGGCCACAGAACAATCTAGTCTTCGAGAAGAATTGCAATTAGTCTTGCCATTTTATAATTTTTTTTTATGACCAAACTTCTTAAATTCAGTCAAATTTTGATTTGGTATACATCAGTCTGAATCAATTCAATTAAAATAAGTCATCTAATGAGATCAGATCATTTTCTCTGATTATATGTCAACCTTGACTATATGATATATATGTTATTGACTTATCTGATTTATTAGAACTTTCTAGCGTAGGCAGTCCCCCAGTTTTCACTAAAAGGGTGATTGTTTATTCAAAATCTGGTTGTGTTCATATTATATATATATATATATATATATATATGTTTCTTTTATTCTTCAGGTACTATTTAAATTGAGAGCTCTATAAATAACCATTGAACTCATGCAAAAAGTGCAACATAAACAGAACATGGCAAGTTTAAGGTTTCATGTCATTTTCTTCCTTCTATGCACGAGCATTGTCAATCTAGTTAGCTGCCAATGCCCGCCTGAAAACCGTGTTAACCTTTTTATCCTCGGGGATTCGATATTTGACTCTGGGAATAATAACTACATCAACACTAATGCTCAGGCAAATTACCAGCCTTATGGGAAAACCTATATCAAGTACCCCGCTGGGAGATTTTCTGATGGCTTTCAAATTCGGATTTTATTGGTAATACGTTTTCTCATTTTTTGAGTGCATTTTTTTTAAAGACAAACGATGTTTCTCAAGTAATTAAATTAACCTTGGTGATTTATTGCAGCTGAGTATGCTAAATCACCATATATTCGGCCTTTTCTACATCCTGGTATTCATGCTTTTACTTATGGAGTGAACTTTGCTTCAAGTGGAGCTGGTGCTTTGTTTGAAACTCATCGAGAATTGGTATGTAACTATTCTAAACTGGTCTTAATGCAATGGGGTTTGCCTACTTAATCATCAGGTTACTATATATATTTTGACATTTGGTTATGGAATTATGCTTGTTTACTTACTTCTATATCAAACTTTCTGGTGCCTCTCCAGCTCAATCCAATTGATCTGAAAACTCAGCTAACATTTTTCGAGGACATGGAGAAACAGTTGAGGCAGAGACTAGGTGATGCAGAAACCAAGTCATTGCTTTCAAAAGCTGTTTACTTAATTAGCATTGGAAGGAGTGATTACTTGGTCCCTTTCTATCCAAACTCCACTGTGTTTCAAACCTACTTAAAAGAAGAATATGTTGGGATGGTGATTGGCAATCTGACTGTCACAATCAAAGTAATGAAAGAGATTTATTTACCTAAAATTTCATATTTTTTATCTAACATTTCCATTATCTTTTTTTTGTTAATCTTTTTCTTATACATAAGAGTGATATATGAGAGATCGTAATACGAAAATAAAAAAAGAGATCGTAAGTATTAAAATTTGAACATTAAATTTGATAAATATTATTTCTTAAAAACAGATACAAAAATCAATTGAACTAAATTTCAGATTTAATATCAATTTATTTATTTATTTATGCTTCAATTTGATGTCGTAGGAATTGTATGAAAAAGGTGGAAGGAAATTTGGGTTTGTAAATGTGGAGATATTGGGTTGTATACCACATGTGAAAATACTTGACCAAGGGAGCAATGGTTCCTGTTTTGAGGAAGCAACGGCACTAGCTGAGCTACACAATAGAGCACTTTCCTTGGCCCTCCAAGAGCTAGACAGCCAATTAGAAGGATTCAAATATACAAATTTCAATTTTTTCAGTTCCCTCAGTGAAAGAATTAATAATCCTTCAAAATATGGTATGCCTCATTACCTTCTTCCCATAATTCTTGACGTCAAAATATTTAAATCTTGTTCTGAAATTTCTTTTGTGTTTTATGGTTTTGAAGGTTTTAAAGAGGTGAAAATGGCATGTTGTAGAAGTGGTGAGTACAGAGGAATTTTGAGCTGTGGAGGAAGAGGGGGAGTGACAGACTATCAAATATGTGAAAATTCTAATGAATATTTTGTTCTTCGATGCCTACCAATTAACTGCAAAGGCCAACCAGCAATTAGCTGAGCTAATGTGGAGTTCATCAGATCACAACGACTCAGGGCCTATTTACAATCTCAAAGCACTAATCAGCCTTTGATTTCTGATTTTGCTTAATAAATTTCATTGCCTGATGACGTTATAATAAACTGTTTAATTATGGATCGTAGTATTTTCCCTTGTTACAATGTTATTGCATGAGCAAATATAATAAATTTATAGGGAAGGAGTTCCTGAATTCCATATGTTAAAGATTGGTAGCATGTTCATATATTATTTTTATCATTGTTTATTTTTAAGTATTTAAAGGGATTGAATCTTGACAGTAAGATTCTTCATTCAAAAGCACCTTCGAAACTGTCGGTGCCAATACCATGGTATTGAACATTTGAGATATCAAAAAATACATTCTTTGTTTCTTTTTTTTTTTTTCATTTTTTTTAGATATTTTAAAATTATGTTTTGTTTTTAACATTTGAAACTCTTACTTTTTATATTTTAAAATTATTTTTTATGATTTTTTGTAACTTTTTTATATTAAAAATTATGGAAATTTAATTTTATAAAAAAATTAATTTTAATATTAAATATATTAAACAAATTTTTTTAAAAAAAAATTATATGAAAACCAATAACGCCTAGGGAGGAAGTATATTTGATTATATACATGCTCATGGTTATGATGTTTTGTAAAATTTTTATAATATTTGGTCAAGGGTTCAAAGAATGACGGAACAACAAAGCCCACCCCAATTTGAAACAGGCCTTTTAGGATTCTGCAAATCAGATCTTTATGGAAGGTCCAACTCTGCATCATGGCCTTCACCCTTTCTACCTGTACGGCTAATTTTGGTTTCGCATTTTTTTTTGGCCAAGATAATTTTGCTTGAATAAGTTTCCTTTACACTTTTTAAAAACTTTTTCACCTGGAAAGAAGGATTTCTAGTTTTTTTTTTTTTTTTAATTTGATCATTTCTCCAATTCTTGAGCACAAAACTTGTATAACTTTAAAATATGGTTAGCCAACAATTTAATAATAGCCATCTTAAGAAGTCAAATACATTTTTCTTCCCTTTATCTGTTTACAGAAATTAAATCACTCAGCTTATATTATTACATGAACGAAAAAGATTTGGCTCTGCTTTGTTTTAATGAGATTTTCTGTTAGATTGTTGCATTTCATGAATGAATAAGCTTGCTTATCATCAAATTCACATATGAATATTTGGATTAAGTGATAAGAGAGTCTGTATATTCTTTATTATCTCAAGTTCTAATCGATTAAAAAATTATAAAGTAATTTTTTATGAATTTTTAAAATTTAATATAAATAAATCCTTTTAAAATTTTGAATCGATCCAAAAAATGTGTCAAGCAAATTTCAAGAACCTCTTACTTCTTTACAAAAAAACCCACATTTTATAACCAATCTTCTTTCTTTTGAAAATGAAAAAAATATTAAAATTTGGTTTGCAAAATAGATTGCAACATATGCCATCGGAGAAAATGCAGAAACTTCGATCCTCATAAAGTAAGTGCTAATTAATGGGCAATCTACAGTTTGCGGCAAAGACAAGTAATTGAAATTTGAAACAGCTATACAACTTAAAATTTTTTATTGCCAAACAAGTGGCCAAAGAACAATCTAATCTTTAAGAAGCAATGCAATTACTCATTGCTATAAAATAATATATATTTTTTATGACCAAACTTCTCGAGTTCATCAAAATTGATTTCGTATACATCAGTCAGTCTAGACGGTGGATCATATGAAAAAAAAGTATTACATGACACAATTTAAATGTAAGGGACATAACATAAAATATTCGTTTTATATAATCATTTTTTATCATTCTGAATCATTTTAATTGAATAAATCATCTAATGAGATCAGATCATTTTTCCTAATTATATGTCTCGAATATAACATATATATTATTGACTGATCTAATTCGTAGATTATTTATGTGATTTGCCAAAACTTTCGAGCATAGACAGTCCCCCAGTTTTGCACCAAAAGGTTGGTTGTTTATTCGAAATCTGGCTTGTGTTCGTATTTTATTTATATATATATATATATATATATATGTGTGTGTGTGTGTGTGTGTTTATTTTATTCTTCAGGTACTACTTGAATTGAGAACATAGATTGGCATCTGCTTTCCAAGAAAATGTATAAACTCTGATCCTAATAAACTAAGAGCTGATTAATGGATAATCTACAATTTTCCATTTTTCTTAAAATTGAGTCCAAGGATGGCGCTGTTACTTAAAAGAATAAAGTAAACACTAGAAAGTCAGCAGATAAAATGAGAAATTGTAATGGTTTATTGGCTGAATACATTGTAATGTAATAAAGTAAACATCTTGCAGCTCAAGCTTCAAAAAATCAGAACCCAATTGATAAGAATTGCAAAGTTAGACGAAGTAAAAAACTGCTGTTTTGTAAGACTAATTTGTTAGTCAATGGTGGTGCTAACCAATTTTATCTGCTGCACCAATAGGCCGCATCTGCAAATGATGTGAGCCGTGACAACTCTCATATATGGAATTTGATGGCAAATAATGAACTAATTAAACCATTTGTCAACCTTTGAAATTTATCAATCTTTATTAGTTTAATTTCTGAACTTCAGCTATTTCACTAAAAAACAATTAACTGACACCATTAATTCCATTCAAAAATAATTGCAAGTTCTGGCCTTATTCTGCGATGTTACGGGGAAATTTCAGCCATCACATTGGACTGAGTCCTGCTTCATGCAAGAAGCAGGAAACTCTATAAATATCATGCAAACTAAGGAGAGTGACATAAAGTGAAAACTCATTTTCTAACATGGCAAGTTTAAGGTTCTTCGTATGTTTATTTCTTTTTTGTGCAAGTTCTCTCAAACTCGTGCGCAGTTGTAGTCTGCCCAAAAACCATGTCGCCTTGTTTATCTTGGGGGATTCACTGTTTGATCCTGGAAATAATAACTACATCAACACGATTGCTCGGGCAAATTATTGGCCATATGGGGAAACCTTCTTCAAATACCCCTCTGGAAGGTTTTCTGATGGTCGTTTAATTCCAGATTTCATTGGTAAGTAACACAATTTTTTCAATTTTTCCTTTTTGTAGTGAAATATAACTGTTGGTGTTCTGAGTGTTTTGGTTTTCTTACAGCCGAGCATGCAAACTTACCACTAATTCCACCATATCTTCAACCTGGCAATCATCAATTTACTTATGGGGTCAATTTTGCCTCGGCTGGAGCTGGTGCTTTGGCTGAAACTAATCAAGGATTGGTATGACCTCCCTCTTGCTCTGGCTCTTGCATGTGTAATACATATACTGTTTTAGCGCTTTACATTATCTAAATATACTCTGGAATATCTTCAAATTTGTTCTATTTCGATTTCTGCTTTGATTCTTATTTGACACCCATATTTTACAAATTGCGGGTTAATTTCAGGTGATCGATTTGAAAACTCAGTTGAGTTACTTCAAAAAGGTGGAAAAGCTGTTGAGACAGAAACTAGGCAATGCTGAAGCCAAGACCTTGTTATCCAAAGCAGTTTACTTAATTAGCATTGGAGCCAACGATTACATATCCCCTTTGAGCACAAACTCCAGTGTATTTCAGTTCTTCTCCAAAGAAGAATATGTAGGAATGGTGATTGGAAATCTAACTGACACTATCAAAGTAAGTTTCACATATAGTTGAAGCCTTCCAATCTGTTTTCCCCCTTAACACAATTAAGTTGATTGCAAATGCAAATTTGATTTTGATGTTTCAGGAAATATACAAGAAAGGAGGAAGGAAATTTGGGTTTCAAAACTTGGGGCCATTGGGTTGTGCGCCATTCATGAAAGCACTTGTACCTGGAAATACAGGTTCCTGCTTTGAAGCAGCTATAGAACTAGCAAAACTGCACAATGCAGCTCAGTCTAAAGCCCTGCAGGAGCTGGAGATCAAACTAGTAGAATTTAAATATGCAAGGCATGATTTTAATATTTCTGCTACTGAAAGGTTGAACAATCCTGAAAAATATGGTATGCACTGAGCTTTTCTTATAGTACTACTTGAAGGGAAAACCATGCATATTCTAATTATCTAGATTTTTTTACTCAAAAACTTTTCAAGGTTTCAAGGAGGCAAATATAGCATGTTGTGGGAGCGGTCCGTACAGAGGAATTTTAAGCTGTGGGGGAAAGAGGGGAGTGACAGAATATGAATTATGTTCAGATCAAATTTGCTTGCTCATTGTTGCTATTCCAATAAAAATTTGAAATTATGACGTAACGTATTCAAGATAACAGACCATAAACTCCATACATTTCATAAAAACTATAAATAATCATACCTATGAAGTATTCTCTACCCAAACAAACACAAACCCAAACTCTTGTGCACCTTTTTAACACAACCAAACACATACCCATATGTTCCCATACATCATACCTATGTGGACCCTCTCAATCTCCTCTAGTCCACTCACAAACAAACATACACACCCATAAGATGTAGAGTCCCAATACTCCTATGGGGTGTCTATCCCACAAAACCCTACAACTCTCTTACATCTTTTTCTCATACCTAACCTTGTGGAGACTTCACCTATTTATAACCATACAAACTTGCCCATTAAGAATCTCTCTCCTCTTAGAATTCTTCTCCTGTAAGTCAAACTTGCCTATTAAGAATCCTCTTTCTCTTGGAATTCTTCTTTTGCAAGTCTTCTTGTCCATCAAGCAATATCTGACAAATCCCAAACAAATCTCTAACAAATCTCTTATGGGATTTGAGTCAATATTCCCAACAATCTCCACCTTGACTCAAATTCCATCAATCATCTGTCTTCATGCTAGACATGCTTGGCTCCACCTACAATGGAAGTCTCACAATCATCTTCTCTTCTCTTGTGTCTTCACGTTTCATACAAACCAATCCTCAATCTTCAAAACTCGAACTCTTCTTTTGAATCGAGCTCCTCTAAGCTTACTTCTTCACATGTCTCAAACCAAGCTTTTCACATATCTCGAACTATCAACTCTTTCTATGTCTCGAACAATCAACTCTTCCTACATCTTGAATCTTTAACTCTTCTCACGTTTCGAAACTTCAGCTCTGATACCACTTGTTGGGGATCACCACAGCTCTGATACCACTTGTTGGGGAACACCACAGCTCTGATACCATTTGTTGGGCTAAAAGCCTCCAATCCAATCGCACCAGCGGAAGCAAAATCAAGCAATAAATCAAACACACAAGAGACAACAATTTAACGTGGTTCGGTCCAACTGACCTACATCCACGGATGAGAAACAAGATCCACTAGTTGTAGAGAATTACAAACATACATCATATCATCAACCCCACTCAATAATCAATACTCATAAGACACTCTCAATCTACTCTAGTCCTATGAAGTATTCTCTACCCAAACAAACACAAACCCAAACTCTTGTGCACCTTTTTAACACAACCAAACACATACCCATATGTTCCATACATCATACCTATGTGGAACCCTCTCAATCTCCTCTAGTCCACTCACAAACAAACATACACACCCATAAGATGTAGAGTCCCAATACTCCTATGGGGTGTCTATCCCACAAAACCCTACAACTCTCTTACATCTTTTTCTCATACCTAACCTTGTGGAGACTTCACCTATTTATAACCATACAAACTTGCCCATTAAGAATCTCTCTCCTCTTAGAATTCTTCTCCTGTAAGTCAAACTTGCCTATTAAGAATCCTCTTTCTCTTGGAATTCTTCTTTTGCAAGTCTTCTTGTCCATCAAGCAATATCTGACAAATCCCAAACAAATCTCTAACAAATCTCTTATGGGATTTGAGTCAATATTCCCAACAAAGTCATATGTCTGATAAGGCTAATAAGCAGATTTCCGAGCTAATGTGGAGTGGAACACCCAATGTTACGGGCCCTTACAATCTGAAAGCGTTATTTGAAGCATGATCGAGATATCATTTCAACATAACAATAATAATAATTACTTGTTTGCTGTTTATATGTAATGATTTTACTGATTGATTCCCTAGTAGTTGTGAGAATAAATAAGCTTCATAAAGAGTGCAAAAATATATGAAATTTCATATTGGTATTGTCATTTGTTTGACCCCAGTAGGTTTAATATGTGGTGAAAAAATGGTGGACAAACTGTCGATATTGTGTGTTATGTTTGATTTTCTACGCAACCAAATTGAATTGAAATGACATGGTTGACTTCGAACAACAGTTGAATTCACCGACTCCTTACAAAATTTTATTTTTTGAATTCCCTAAGCTTTACTCTTTTTTGTAAATAAATAAATAAATATATATATATATATCAAGTTCTTAAAAGAAAGTGAAAAATGTAAAAACTCTTGATAGCCATAAATAAAATAAGAGCCAATTTATAATCCATTAATCAACTATTCCATTATAAAAATTGGGTCACCAAGGTGGGTGATGTTAACCTTTTCTCTTAAAATGGTTTTTGCAAATTATTTTTGGTTTATAAAGATTTTGAGCCACATAATATATATATATATATATTATGGTTTAATTGGCCACATTTCTATCTTTATAAATAAAGCTAAAACTCAAAAAATGTTAGTGAATGACTTTAATACTCTTTTGAGATTTTAAAATATACAATTATGTTCCTGAATTAAATGCTTAACATTTTTTATTATTAGTATATCATATTTGTTAAATTTAAATTTACTTAGAGCAAATCCTAAAATCGCAAAGCACGTTTGATTAATTGATACTTGAAATAGATAAAATTCATCCTTGAAAGCTACCAAGCAACAAGAATCAGCTCCATCTATCTAATACAACTTTTAAATATTTATAAAGACAATAATTGAAGAAGACAATTCCCCTTCAAAACTTACAACCTAAGACAATAATGGAAGAAGACAACTCCCCTTCAAAACTTACAAACTAGGCTTCTCCTTCTTGTCTTTGAAGACTGCCAATGTGTTCTTCCTTGGTAACAATTTTCTAAGTGGATTAAGAGTCTAAATTATACCCAGAAATCAGAATCATTCTAAAAAGTGAGATTATATTCTTACAAAAATATATTCTTAGGAATGACTTTTCTGATTCTAATTTGCTTTAAGTAGGACGCTAGCAACTCTATAAATATCAAGCCAAGGAGAATACAGTGTATCCCACAGAAAGTGAAACTGTTTCTAACATGTCAAGTTTAAGGTTCTGTGTCACTGCCTTACTTGTCTGCGCAAGTTCTGTCTACCTCGTAGGCGGCCGCAGTCTGCCAAAAAACCATGTCGCCTTGTTTATCTTAGGGGATTCAATGTTTGATGCTGGAAACAATAATTACATCGAAACGACTTTTCGAGCAAATTATTGTCCGTATGGCGAAACCTTCTTCAAATATGCAACAGGGAGATTTTCTGATGGCCGTCTAATTCCGGATTTTATTGGTAATTAAGACAAAATTTTTCTTTTCCTTAATTTACTAGTGAAATATGATTGCGTTTTGATTAGTGTATGGCTAACTTCGTTGCAGCCGAATATGCTAATTTACCACTAATTCCACCATATTTACAACCTGACAATCATCAATTTACTTATGGGGTCAATTTTGCCTCGGCTGGAGCTGGTGCATTGGCTGAAACCGGTCAAGGAATGGTATGTGCTTTCTCATTAATTGGTCTTTCATGTGTCATATGCAAGCACTCGATCTAGCATCTAGCGTCTTGTTAGAAATAGATAATTTCTTCCATTTTATTTCACACGGTTTTATAATGTCTTTACATTTCCTTGCATATTGGGGTTTAATTCCAGGCGATAGATTTGAGAACTCAGTCAAGTCATTTCAAGAATGTGGAAAAGCTGTTGAGGCAGAAACTAGGTGATGCAGAAGCCAAAATTTTGTTATCCCAAGCTGTTTACTTAATAACCATTGGAGCCAATGATTACTTAAACTATAATGCCAAATCCATCAGTGAGTCCAAAGAAGAATATGTAGGGATGGTGATTGGCAATCTAACTGCTGCTATCAAAGTAATCTCGTATTGTTCAAGCATTTTAATTTTTTCCCTTCTTTAAAGTTCCTTTATATCCCAATATGAATAACTACTAAGTTGTAGCGCGTATATATATTTCATTTTGATGTTTCAGGAAATATATGAGAAAGGAGGAAGGAAATTCGGGATTCTGGCCTTGGGGGATTTGGGGGCTTTTTTTCCACCCATGAATGTAGCCACAATACTATCACAACTGCACAATGCAGAACTTTCTAAAGTCCTGAAGGAGCTGAATATCCAACTAGAAGGATTTAGATACGCAAAGCAGGATATTAATCTTACTGCTGCTGAAATACTGAGTAATCCTGAAATACATGGTGGGCGCAGTGGCAACTTAGTCTATACTACCTAAGTGTAAAGCAATTCATATTTTAATCTAAATTTTGTGTCTGATCATGTTTTGAAGGTTTTAAGGAGGTAGCTACCGCATGTTGTGGCAGTGGCTTTAACAGAAGAAATTTCGACTGTGGAGGAAAGAGGGGTAATTGTACAGCATATGAAGTATGTTCAGATCCTTCTGAATATCTCTTCTTTGACGCTTATCATCTGACTGAGAAAGCAAATAAGCTGATTGCAGAGCTACTGTGGAGTGGAACACCCAATATTACGGGGCCATATAATCTCAAAGCACTATTTGAAGCATGATGATCATCACTTTTGTTTAAGGAATAATGACTTGATAATAAATACAGTATGATTTTATTGCCTGATCCCTGATAGTAGCGGAAAGTGTATTCCGCCTCTGCTGTATTCTGATACTATTAGTATATTATAATGTATGTATCAATAAGAACAGCGTTTGTTTCACAAGATTATCATCTATAATTCTACACAGCATGCAAGAAACCGGGGCCATGTTGACAGGTATTGATCTTATATCTTTGTAAATTGAAGGAAGGTAAGTCCCTGGCCAATGATATATCCAGGCCGGTGGCTTCTTACCATGAGATATACTGATCAGTAGATAACCCCAAATAAATCTTTCTCAAATATTGAACTAAACATAAAAAAAACCTCTGCATAAAAGTAATTTCAGATTAGATATTTATCATATTTTGAATTGCTAAAACACGGGAAAACCCCATGAACCATCCCATTTTTTTAAGTAAACCCCTATGTTCTTATCATTCACAAATAATTTTTATCTTTTGATTAATTTGTATCCAAATAACTATCATTTCAAACAAAAAGAACAGTTAAAATTTGTGACAGTGAATACCAATTAATTTTTTTTTATCTACGTAGAAGTTTATATATGTAGACACTAAATTTGTTTGAATTTTAATTAATAATTCTCGAGCTATAAGGTCGATATCTGATTTCAATTCAACTGGGCTACAGAGATTTCAATTCAACTGGGCTTTAAGTCCAATTTCAATTCGAATAGCCCTAAAGTCTAATTTCGATTGGGCTCGAAGCCCATTTTGTTTTTTAAGCCAAGCCTGCCTTTTATTTTCTTTGTTTTATTAAATTAAATAAAAATATAAAATACAAAAAAATAAATTAAAAAAATACAAAAATGGGGGATGGCAGTGGTGCCTTGCTCAACACCACTAGCCACCATACCCTACCTCTGATCACCCATCACATTGGTCACCATACCTTACCCTCTAGTCATGCATACTCTGTTCACTACCCTCACATAGGCTCATAATCATCATGCCTTACTACTGTCGAAAATGACAAAAAAAATAAAAGAAATATGAGACTCATGCTTGCATCCCCATGCCTAGCCCTGTGTCATTCCCTCAAGCACAGAGCACTGCCGGAGCTCTATAAACAGAGCTCCTGACCGAATCAAAAAGGAGGAAGGGATGCTGCCCAAGAACAAAAAAACTCTGCAAAAAAAAAATAAACACAAAAACTCAATCCCCTGAAACAAAGAACCCAGCCAAGAGCCCCTGCACAAAGAAAAAAAAAAGTCAAAAAAAAGTTTGGCCGAAATTTTGAAAGCAGATCTAGGCCATTTTGGATACTTTCGGGTGAAACCAACTCAGATTTATGCTCAGGGGGAGAAGAAGAATTTTTAATAATTTTTAAGATTTTTAGGCTGTTGACGACGGTGCCGACGACCGACGATCAACGATCGAAACGACAGACGGTGACGGGCCGACCATTCTAGAGAGAGACAGTCTAAGAGTGTAGAGAGAGAGGGGAAGAAGAGAAAATGTAAAAAAATTTTTTGGCATTTATAGAAAGCTGAAACCCAAAATGACGCCATTTCATTAAACGGTTAAAACAACGTCGTTTTAAGCCCTTAGGGATCCGTGCGTCAACCCATGACTCGACTCGGGGTCTACACATCTGACCCGTTGACTCGCATCTCCTTTAGCTTTTAACCAGTCCAACCGAACTAACCCGGACTAGCCCTAAACCGCTGAAGGTGACCAGACCGTCGAATCAACGTTGACCGATTTGGTTCAGGTAAATTTTTTTTTTTTGAATTTTTTGATTTTTTTAAATATTATTTTTGTTATTTTAATAATTATTATTAATATTTATGTATGTAAAAATATTTAAATTTATCAAAATAAATTTTTATTGTTTTATAATATTAATTAATAAAATATATTATAAAAGTTTTTATATTAACTTTAAAATAAAATCTTATAAATTAATAAAAAATAAGAAAAAAAAATTTTATCCGATGATGAGATTCAAAGGTACTTCAAATAGCGATGCCCATGAAATCTCTAGGTGAAAATATTTTTTTTAAATACTACCAATGTATTGGAGTATTTATAAAAAAAATTTCAATAAAATAAAAAAAATTTGTTAAAAAAAAACTAAAATTAATTAATTTATTAAGAAAAAAAAACTTTTATCCAATGATGAGATTCTAAAAGTATTTTGAGTAGTGATACTTTATGAAATCCTTAGGTGAGAAGATTTTTTTTAATATTATCAGTGTATTGAAATATCTATAGAAAAATTTTAATATAATAAAATTCCTTTTTCTTCAAAACTTCAATTAAAAATTAAAAAAATAAAAAAATTAATTTATAAAATTTTTAAATAAAAATAAAATGTGTGCATTAACTTATTATCATTTACATTGCATGGATGGCATAATTTTTTACGAAAGGTAAATTTAAGCTTCCATGGTGGGATTTTAAGGTATTTCAATAAGTGATGTCTAAGAAATTTCTAGGTGAGAAAAAGTTCTTCTAATATTATCAATAAACTGAAATATTTTAAGAATTATTTCAATAAAAAGATTTTAATTTATTTTTTTGAAATAAAAATGAAACAATAATAATAAATAAATAAATATTTTTTATAAATAAAAAATCAAGAAAATTATTTTACAAACACCGAAAATGAGATACCTTTTTTTATCAAAATCAAAAGATAACACGTAATTAATTGGTATTATTTTAAATGGATGTTATGGGAGTATTAATCTTTTTTCACACGTAACTGACTCTCGAATTCAAACTATTACACATATTCTAAAATTATCTCTTTAATAAATTTTAATATTTTATTAAAAAAATCTATTTTAATAATTGATCATCGCACCTAACAAAAAATAATAATAACAATTCTATTTTTATTTTAAATTTTATCGAGCGGCTCAAAAATCGTTACAATAATATCTGACTTAATACACTCGCCTTGCCTCCACAGAATTTCAGTGCTATAAATCAAATCAAATGCTGTAAAATTTTGGAACATTTAGAACGTATCTCAAGATCACATAGATAAAAATAAAATGCAACATCTATACCTTGATGACAGACAAATACCCAGCTGCTTTCTCATAATTAAGGTTAGAGATGTATATTAATATCTCGGCCATGTTTGTGTTAGAGACTCGTAAAGACAAACGTACAAGAGAGACAGGAAGAAAAGGACATCACCGATTAATTTCAGACAAACAAAAGGATAACTGTAGTATATCTGCTGATGGAAGACACGAACAAAGGATAGAATCTATAGTAACATAAGGCAATGCATGGTGGCCGTTAGACTCTCAAACTTCATATCGTAATCGTACTACAAAAATTACACAACATACATACGTACAACGAACAGATCTTATTGATACTAATCAGCTGTCTTGTCTCCTTGGTGTTCAAACTCAGACAAAAATCTCAGTTTCAGACGAATTGGACCCAGAAATTAAACCTGTTTGAGAGAGAGGGAGAGAGTGAGAGATAAGCAACGGATCAGAAAGGAAAAGAAAGGAAGGAGAAGCACTACTACCAATACACCAATGTTAGTAATGGCAAGTCCGAGTTATAATTTTCTTTTATCTAATCAGCTTATGTGTGAGCATCACACCCTTCTCAGCCCACTCAGCTGCTATAGCCTTGCGTTACTGGGCGAGGAAAAAACTGCGACTATTCTCAAATTTCCATCTGAAATTCTGCTATTGAAACCCAAAAGAAACTTTTCTGACGGATTGATCGTCATTGATTTTCTTCGTAACAATCTCTACTCTTGTTTTTTAGGTTAATTAGGTGATTTTGACTCGATTTTACAACATACGGAATAACATATATATATATATATAAAATTAGACATAATTTTAAAAATCATCATCAATTTTTTATTAAAATGTAATTGATCAACTACTAAATTTATCTTTTTAAAGAAATATTAAATTTGACTAAGAGTTTCTCGTTTTAACCTTTTAAATAAAACTAAATTTGAGAATTCAGTTATAAGGTTATAACACCCTTATAATGTCCATCATAAAAGACGATATCATTTAATTTTAAATTATCTTAAAACCTTAATTCTAATTGTTTTATATTTAATATTAAAAATAATTTTTAAAATTTTTCATCAATCTAACAAAATTTTTAAAAATATTTAAGAATCTCATTTATTTTATTAAAAAGACTTCGTCATAGAAAAAATTTAATCATTTTTTAAATTTTTTTTTATTAAAAATATATCTAATTTTTTCACAATTTGGACAAAAATTAAAAATATTTCTTCACTTAAAAATCTCTTAAATAATCATCAATTTATAATTACTAAGAATTCCATTTTTGAAAATTATTTTTTTTGCTTTATAATTTTTATTTCTTAATTTTTCATCATTTAGGTTAAATTTAGAATCTAAAATTTTATTAATTTTTTAATTTTTGAAAAGAAAATAATATGACAATATTTTTTTTAAGTCTTATTTAAATTTTTCCAACATTTGTGTTGAATTTAGAAGATAAACTTTTCATCGAGAAATTTTATGAAAATTTAACTATTTATGATTTTTTTTAAGATTTCATTATTAGATAATTATTAAATATTTTCACCTAAATTTTTAAGTTTTATTTTTTATTTTTATTTTTAAAATTTTTTATTTAAAAAAATATAATTACTTTTATTAAAATTCATCTAAATTATTTTACCTTTTGGATTAAATTTAGAGAAATTTTTCACCTAAAATTTTTTAAAAAAATCTAACATTTAAAATTTTTAAGAATTTCATATTTGAATAATTATTAATTCATTCCTAAATTTTTATTAAATTTATATTTTATATTATTTTTTAAAATTAAAAATAAATGTTAATTATTATTATTAAAATTTTATCTAAAATTTTTCACCATTTAGATTAAATTTTAAAAAAATTTCTCACTTATAAATTTTATAAAAATTAATTATTTGTAATTTTTAAAAATTTCATCATTCTATAATTAGTATTAATCCTCAAAATTTTATTAGAGTTTTTATTTTATAATTTTTTTAATTATTTCTTCTAGAATAATTTCTTCTCATTTTTTTTTAAATTTAATCATGCAAGAATATTTTAAAAATAAACTAAAAATAAGAAAATAAAT